ACCATGGTCCTATTTAGCTGTAAGTAGCTACGATAGATAATAGCTGTAGCCCGTACGTACAGGATGCAGTTGGTTTGAGATCGCTTGGGGCTATGTGGGTGAAGATCTGCGGGGTGGAGCAAACAAGAAGTTCCTTTACCGGTGGTTACCTAAAACATCGGTTGTCCCGAGGGGGCCGCTGACACCCGTGAAGAACACTAATTATTTTTCGCCGAACCCAATGCTGTTGTAGTAGGGCAGGGTTTTTCTTCGCGAGACACACTTCATACAAGCCGCAACCGCACACAAGTGCGCGCGGAGCAGTCTGAATCAATATTTTATGCAAAATAAAGAACGTGTCCAATGTGTATTCGAAGGGATCTTCAAAAGTGGACTGGTTGGTGCATCCACCCCTCCGCTGGAGTGCCAAATGCTGTTCTTGGATTCGATACAGCCGGCGACTACAAGTACAACGCCGAAGACTCTCTTTACTCAATCCGTCCACGCCGTCCTTTCCCGAAACGTGCAGCTGATGGCCGTGCTGCGGGTACTGATGGTGATTTTGTACTGTAGTGGTCCCGATATTGTGGTGTGTAAAAAAAATGTGCCACTATCCATGGCAATGCCACTTGTTGCTATAATGGTAACAATGCCCCTATTGAACAGTTGTTCCTTCGACCTTCACTCGTATGCGTTGTGAATGTATCCGGGTGTCCCTTTTTTGTTGTATGCACCAGTATTCGCGTGAAAACGCGGATGGAGCCCATCACGGGGGCATTGACGCTTGTCTAGTTCTAGCTCATCGTCAGAAAGGCCAGCGCGCGGTTTGCGAACCCGTCCTTCTCCCCAAGCGGTCGGTTTTGGATTTAAATAGTTCTAGATCCGCGTATATGCCGTCATGAATACGTGTGGATTGGCGCCCGCTGCTGTGTGTGTCGTGTGTGTCGTTGGTGCGTGCGTTAACAATCGGGGGCGCTCCGGCGGCTCGAATTGCCACATTTGGGGGCATGAGATGCTTCTATAAATGGATGAAATTGTAACTGTATCGGGAACACGACTTCACCGACATGTAGCAGAGGGCGGACTTGTCGGCCGTTGGTGTTCCAATTGAAAGAGCGGCGAGAGCGAGCACCGCAGTCGTGGAGATCCTTCCCGATGAAATCATGCAAACGGGGCAGACACCTTTACATGATTCAATCGGGAATGGACGAAACTCGATCATCAGGAATTCCTGGCGATTTTGTATGAACACCAGGACGCTGAGTTTGCGATGCGTCAATGGTGTTGGGTTCGCTCGTTCCACAAGCAAGCTAGGATAGGGATCAAGCGAAGTGACCAGGAAACCCGATGTTGCTACAAAGTGAACACAGTTGAGGAATCGATTGTACTGCCTTCCCTCCTCGCTTCTTTCGTTGGTATGACTTTTTTCAAACGATAATCGACTTGATTTCGACCAAGACCGACACGCCTTTGCCTGCGCGCTAACTGTTTGTGTAAACCTGCCAACGTTCGCCCGCTGAAGCTCGCGTACGCCCTAATGCAACAATCGCAACGTCACAAGCACCCGCCGCCAGTCAGGGATAAACACGCGGAAACAGCAGGGAGCAAAGTCTCTCACCGTCAGATGCATGACACGTTTTGCGTATGCACATACATACGGACGCGTGTCAAAACAAATTTGTGAAGGGTACAACAACGTACAACAACATACCGACATTCAACAACACTCCGAAAATACAGGTACCAGCAGAGGTCCCCGCTTGTTTGTCGTGCAGTGTGCGCAAGAAGATTTCCCCAGCGCTGTAAATTTATTTTGCCGGACACACCGGCACTGCAAGTAGATCCGGCCGCACCCCCATCGTCTCACGTGGCGCGCGCATGGCTAAACCATCGAGGACCAACAAAATCGCACCCTAGACAAAACAATATCATGATAACCTGAAAAGCAACACGCTGCATATCAGCTTGGTGCATCACGCTGATTGAACCGACCCGCATGATCTCCTGTCTACGTTCGGAGCAGCGGGCACTCGGATCCTGCCGTGGTAGCACACCTTTGAACTGTAGGACTTGAGGCAAGACGGAACGGTTTAAGCGAGTTGTATTGCACGAAGATTATCTTCATCCTGACCACTGCGGTTGTTGGTGTAGCTGATTTCTTTACATTACGAACCGTTCTCTGGTGTCCGCTTAGAAAAAGATCTCCGTACTGGTCCAACGGCAGCGGCGCTTGCGTGGTCTCAAGCCAAGTCCCCCCCCCAAGAGGGGCGCACTGTTCTTGTAAAGTAAAACAAAGACGCGATTGCCTCTATCCAAACAAATAAAATAAAATTTACCGGGATACGATCGACAGCGGTCAAAAAGGGACGGGAGCAGAATAGAGAAATGGAAACGAAAAGGAAATACACAGGGCTCCTTCAACGCTTCACTGAAAACGAGACGGGCAAATTCCAACGAAGACCAATCGAATGAATGTCTTATTATGACAACATCACGCCGGGGGCACTACAAGGAGGGGGGAGGAGGGTACGCAAAGTCGTGCAATGCCGTAGTCGTTAGACCATTGACCTCGCATCCCTACAAAGCCGGGACGGAGCACGCCGGGTTCTCACCGGACCAGGCTTTCACATCACCAAGCGCGAAGCGCCGTGAGATATTCAGCGAGTCGCATGAAGGGTGCGCTGCATCCTGCTAAGGGCTGTCGGCATCTTGTGCTTACTTGCTTGCGTACGGATGACAGCTGCGTATGGATTAATTTACTTTCTGGTGCTTTCACTTCCAGAGACACTTGTAAGCAATATGTAACTGCCTTGAGAGTGCTTGACGATTTTAGCACGTGGTGCGATCATCCCCCTTGCGCGGAGTGAGGGTTCTCCACCCCGCACAATATGATCTACTCGACCAATATGATGGTTACCGCCAAAAAAAACCGGAGGTAAAAAACAAACGGTAACCTGGTTGCCGAGATGACGAAGTGAATTGGCTTGTTTTACAACGTCGTTGCCAAGCGACGAAACCCCAATCCCGGTGGCCAACCAAGGTGGCGCGGGAAGGGGCGGGAGGGATACGACAGAAAATATTTGGGCACGCCCGTGGTCTTGCTGCCATCGCCTCTACCATCAGCCCGGAAGGATGTCTGTCGATCTGTACGGCTGCAGTGGTGCCTTCTACCTTTGGATATGCTAGCGAGAATCCCTTCCCGCTGATAACGATATTTCAGGTGGTAATTATTTGTGAACACATTCCTGTTGGTCGTATGCATATCGGTTAAGATATCCGCACAACTTCTTTCTCTACATGTTAATGAGAACATCCTTAACTGCTGACGCTCTGCCATCACTGTGGATGCTCTCAATATGGCGTAAACGAGCCGACAGGGGCTAGATGCGTCATCCGAGCAAGACACAGAACAGATGGTTCATCCGCCTCGATTTGGACATGCAGTTAATGGCGTTGATCAACCGCAACAATACAATCAATCAAGTTGTAAAGAGACACCACGACGCGTTCCTGTGAAGGTAGAAGTAAATACAACACATGTGTAACTGAGGTAATAATGAAGGTGCTGTAGACCAGGTAGATACACCAGCAGATCTCTGACACCATGGTGCTATTTAGCTGTAAGTAGCTACGATTGATAATAGCTGTAGCCCGCACCTGCAGGATGCAGTTGGTTCGAGATCGCTTGGGGCTTGTTGGTGGAGATCTGCGGGGTGGATGCAAAGCAAACAAGGAGTTTTACCATCGGTGTATGTCAACCAAAACATCGGTTGTCCGAAGGGGGCCGCTGACAACCGTCAAGAAAACTAATTATTCTTCACCAAACCCAATACTGGTGTAGTAGGGCGGGGTAAATGAGCCACGGGTAACGACTCGGAACGTTGCAGTATTTTCGGTCTGTGATGCTGTGGCGAGACACGCTTTATCCAGGCCGCAAACGCACACACGCGCGCGCGCGGCTGTCCGCAACGTATTTGTTATACAAAATCGAGGACGTGTCCAGTATAAATTCGAAGGGATCTTCAAGAGGGGACTAGTTGGTGCATCCACCCCTCCGCTGGAGTTTCAAATGCTGGTCTTGGATTCGCTCTCGCCGGCGACTACAAGTACAACGCCGAAGACTCTCCTGGCACAATCCGTCTACGCCGTCCTTTCCCGTAGCGTGCAACTCATCTTTTCTGCCATTTTTCTGGACGCGGCGCAGGAGAGTGGTGGAGGTGACTTTGAGTATTCTGGTTGGGCTCTCCACGTTGTTGGATACCTCCGCAGGTGGGTGGATTCGTTCGTTTGAGCAACATGGGGGCAGACCAGTATGTTGATCCAACCGCTGGCATGTAAGTGCTGTTGCCATTTGCCTAGTAGACCGGCAGGTAGACACTGATCAGAGGGGGATTCATTCGCTTGCGAACACCGGATTCACGCAGGACGAGGTGTGATCACAAATGTTTGTTTACCTCTTCGAGTATTGAGCAGCCAATTTTCCCGGTGAAGTTGGTCATTGCAAAGCCACAATCGTGAGCGGCTCCCCATCTCCTTACAGTACCTCATGAAGAATTTGTTGACCAGAGTGACCGATTTTCTTCGGAAGGTGAAGGTCTACTTCGTAGGCCAAGGTTGGTGCCGCTGGCGTATTGGGTCGTTCTCGAAGACATTGCCATCTGCGATATTTGCTCCTGTTTCGGAGGGGTCGATCTCACGCAACAAGATTTGTCGAATCGTGCGATGCTGTATGTCCTCAAGGTAGTCCTTTGTCGGCGTTCAGACTGCCCTGTATCCACGGAACCTATCTTCGACTTCGATGGACCCATTGATTTTGGGACTTACCTTATTCGAACGGTTCCGCGTGGGTAAACGAAGGTGCACTGTAGCGCATGGGGCGCGAACGCCATGGCAGGTTCATTTTGACGACACGGCGTTGCTATTGTAGACATGCTGCGTAAGGTAAGTTTGGAAACCAAAAATTGGAAGCACCTTTCCACCGTCTGGAGAGATGTCAGCAGTCGATTGGATACGTTGCCGGTTCCCCCGTCATTTCGTATGAGGAGAGCCTGTGGCGTCGATACCAGTTTGTCGAGCTCGCTTTATTGTTTGTGTCGTAGTCCGGTATCTCGTTCTCTATCGCGAAACATCGCAGTGCCGTGCCCTGGTCGACTCCGCAATATTGATTTTGGATGCAGCTCCTGACAGTTTTGTGTCAATCTCACCATCCCCTCTCATTTGCCGTCTGTCCTGCGTACGCCGTTGGTTGCAGTTAATGATCGTCTGGACACCACGGACGCCGACCGCTGCCAAATTTCGGCTATTGGAAGTTTGTAAGACCCCAAACGTGGTTGGTGGCTGGCGAGGCACCCGTTGATGCTCGGCATTGCTCGTTGCCGGAGGATTTGAGTTCCATTGCAGGATGTAATTTTGCAATTTCCTAGGTGATGGTCGCTCCAAGATCGGCGGTATTCATCATTATCTAATCTCCGGTACCCGTTTGTCGGGAAACGTTCAACGCTGGGCAGTATTGTTGAGATCAGAGCATTTGCACGACTAAGAGAGCAAGACTTGATACGTTTCTTGGTGTACGCAACACTCCCCCAGGGACCTTGTTGACTGCGGAATAACAGATGCCGATTTGGACGATGTAGCGTCGTGCTTGGAAGCTGCCGGGCTGGAGGCAATCACAAATCTGTAAGTGCTTCCCTATGCCATGGGGGTCGGTGTTGGCCGGTTGTTTTTGTTGCTAGAAGCGGCCTTTTCAAAGTGCTGTGCTGATACTCGAGTCGGCTTGAGGCGAGCGTACAGCCGAGCGATAAGGTAGATTATTGTCACCTGAGCAACAACCAAAGACACCAATCCTCCCCATGACCCATTCAACGCCGACTAGCGCGGCGGGAAGCAGCTGGTAGGAAGTTCGGTGTGGAACAGGTCGGGGGTGTCTGAATCCACCTCCAGCCCGTTGCTGGAAACGTGAGCACCAAGGATCGTGCTACGTATCGGGATCAGTTGTCGCTTCCTGGCATTCGCCGTAGAGCCTCTACGTGATGTTGCCCTGTTGGCCTCATATCCTAGCCTCTTGTCCGGTTCGCGGTGTACTCAATCTAACCCTGGAACGGGTTCCCGCTGCCAACTCGTCGCCTTCGTTGTAGCCGGAAGTAGGCATGATTGTTGTGATTGTACCCAGGCCATCGCGATCAGCATGTGCGGCAGCAAGCACTGATTCCTGGCTCATGTGTGTTATCTGCTCCGCTCGTGGCCTTCCCTCGACACCCGAAGGTCCCTGTACTCCAACGAGCTCACCACGCTGCCTGAGGGAATCTTCGGGGGTCTTACGGCCTTGGAATTTCTGTAAGTAGCTGTTCGACAAGGTTGTCAGTAGAATGTTTTTCCGCATGGGGCTAGCTTGCGATGGAGTACTAAGTTCGCAGACCAATCGTCCTCTTGACCCTTGAAAGTCCGACTAGCACGCCGGAAAGCAGTTGGTAGGAAGTTCGGTGTGGAACAGTTCGGCGGCGTCTGAGACCACCTCCAGCCCACGCACCATAGTCTCGCTGCCGTTATGGCGCGCCCAAGCGCTGCGCTATCTCGCATGCTGGGGGTTGTATGGGTTTGACTGTGACCAGCGCGATTCGGTCAATTTCTATCTGAATATGCGTCCATTCGGAATTTTAGCCGGTACATTCATCGCACGAAAGCAGGTTTGAGGTGATAAGAGAGAAAGAGGCGATCTTGGCGTTGCTGGAAACCAGAGCACCCAAGGAACGTACTACGTACCGGGATCAGTTGTCGCTTCCTGGCGTTCGCCTTAGAGCCTGTACGTGGTGGTGCCCTCTTGGCCTCATATCCTAGCCTCTTATCCGATTGGCGGTGTTCTCACTGCAACCCTGGAACGGGTTCCTACCGCCAACTCGTCGCCTTCGCTTTAGCGGGAAGAAGGCATGATTGTTGTGATTGTAACCAGCCCATCGCGGCGGCTGCGGCGTTGCTAGCGCCGCTGTACTGAAGGACGTGCGTACATGCTGGTGGGCTGGCCGCGCTTCGTAGATCAGCATGTGCGGCAGCAAGCACTGATTCCTGGCTCATGTGTGTTATCTGCTCCGCTCGTGGCCTTCCCTCGACACCCGAAGGTCCCTGATTGAGAACGAGCTCATCACGCTGCCTGAGGGAATCTTCGGGGGTCTTACGGCCTTGGAAACACTGTAAGTAGCTGTTGGACAAGGTCGTCGGTAGAATGTTTTTCCGCATGGGGCTAGCTTGCGATGGGGACCTACCAGATCGCAGACCAATCGTGCCCATGACCCATTCAACCGCTGCCTAGCGCGGCGGGAAGCAGCTGGTAGGAAGTTCGGTGTGGAACAGGTCGGGGGTGTCTGAAACCACCTCCAGCCCGTTGCTGGAAACGTGAGCACCAAGGATCGTGCTACGTATCGGGATCAGTTGTCGCTTCCTGGCATTCGCCGTAGAGCCTCTACGTGATGGTGTTCTGTTGGCCTCATATCCTAGCCTCTTGTCCGGTTCGCGGTGTACTCAATCTAACCCTGGAACGTGTTCCCGCTGCCAACTCGTCGCCTTCGTTGTAGCCAGAAGTAGGCATGATTGTTGTGATTGTACCCAGGCCATCGCGATCAGCATGTGCGGCAGAAAGCACTGATTGCTGGCTCATGTGTGTTATCTGCTCCGCTCGTGGCCTTCCCTCTACACCATAAGGTACCTGCACTACAACGAGCTCACCACGCTGCCTGAGGGAATCTTCGGGGGTCTTACGGCCTTGGAAGAGCTGTAAGTAGCTGTTGGACAAGGTTGTCGGTAGAATGTTTTTCCGCATGGGGCTAGCTCGCGATGGAGAGCTAGGATATCGCAGACAAATGGTCCCCATGACCCATTCAACCCCGACTAGCGCGGCGGCAAGCAGTTGGTAGGAAGTTCGGTGTAGAACAGGTCGGGGGTGTCTGAATCCACCTCCAGCCCGTTGCTGGAAACGTGAGCACCAAGGATCGTGCTACGTATCGGGATCAGTTGTCGCTTCCTGGCATTCGCCGTAGAGCCTCTACGTGATGGTGCTCTGTTGGCCTCATATCCTAGCCTCTTGTCCGGTTCGCGGTGTACTCAATCTAACCCTGGAACGGGTTCCAGCTGCCAACTCGTCGCCTTCGTTGTAGCCAGAAGTAGGCATGATTGTTGTGATTGTACCCAGGCCATCGCGATCAGCATGTGCGGCAGCAAGCACTGATTCCTGGCTCATGTGTGTTATCTGCTCCGCTCGTGGCCTTCCCTCGACACCCGAAGGTACCTGTGCTACAACGAGCTCACCACGCTGCCTGAGGGAATCTTCGGGGGTCTTACGGCCTTGGAAATACTGTAAGTAGCTGTTGGACAAGGTTGTCGGTAGAATGTTTTTCCGCATGGGGCTAGCTCGCGATGGAGAGCTAGGATATCGCAGACAAATGGTCCCCATGACCCATTCAACCCCGACTAGCGCGGCGGCAAGCAGCTGGTAGGAAGTTCGGTGTGGAACAGGTCGGGGGTGTCTGAAACCACCTCCAGCCCGTTGCTGGAAACGTGAGCACCAAGGATCGTGCTACTTATCGGGATCAGTTGTCGCTTCCTGGCATTCGCCGTAGAGACGTACACGTGATGGTGTCATGTTGGCCTCATATCCTAGCCTCTTGTCCGGTTGGCGGTGTACTCAATCTAACCCTGGACGTGCTGGAACGTGTTCCCGCTGCCAACTCGTCGCCTAC